TTTTTTTTTTTTTGCATTGTAATAGTGTTAGCAGCCTCATGTAGCAGGACCGTGTTGTGCTAGGCAGTATAGATATATATATATATATATATACATTGCACGAAATAAGAGCTCCTGACCCAAACTCTGTAAAACCTAAGTAAGATTTAGCTCTATTCCATAAGCTATCCTTAATCTTCTTCTGTGGGTGTTACCCAGGCACAATATAAACCTGTGCCATCTTCTTTTCCATGCCAAAAACAATATCACCCCATATTTTGAATCACACAGCACCAACATCAAATTTCTGTTACATCATATTAAAGTAGCCATTGTTTTAATCACAGCAAGGTAAATTGAGTCTTTGACATAAACTGTACCTTTCTGAAAGCTGCATAATTTTTTCAAATTCTCCTGAATGTTCAGCAACTACTACAAGGGCCAAAACTTTAGCCTGAAATAACAGGAAATAAAACTGTTATAGCTCAGAGAAGCAACTGTAAATCCTAGTGTAAATTTCTAACTTGGTAAAACCTCCAGGTTCTTTACTTGTCAGCTTTTGAATGATAACATTAAGGTAGGGATAGTTTATATGAAGTTCACTGTCCCATAGAAAATCTGATTTTAAGCTGAAGTGTTGGAGAAAAGATTTGACTATTATGTGTTTCCAGCTATCATTCACTGCAACCTGCACCACTGATACAAATATTTGTAGACGACGGAATGATCTGGAGCCAACAGTCAAAAGCAAGAGGTAATAAAAATAATCAGATTTTGAACAGTTCTCAAAAAATTCTATTTCTATTTTTCATTTTGAAAGGACCGGGCAGTTAGGTATTTCAAATTCCAAAACAAATTAAGTCCTACATTTTTGGCATAGCTTCATAATAAAAATATATAAGGACTAAATACATTAGGCACTGGAACATTTAAACTGTAGGCCACTGTCTCTTAATGACAACTGGATCAGGTTTTAATTAGCTTCAGAGGAGCTAGGTCAGGGCATAGGTCAATACTGAGTGAGTTTTTCCTGTCTAATGGCTATTTTGAAGGTCTCTATAACATTAATTTTTCTTAGTCCTTTCCAAGGGGAAATGACAAAGCAACATAAGTAGCATTCATCGGCAGCAGTCTCTGCAGACACGGAGGCTGAAGGACACTATCATTTCTAGGGCATTTCTACTGATTCTGAGTGCAGGGCTGAGGAACAGAAAAGAGTAGCAAGATGGTATGATTGCTACCCACACTCTCTCTCAGGGGTGGGAAATTATTTCGGGTGGAGTGCTGCTTACTGACTTTTGGCAAGCCATCGAGACCACATGACAGGCAGCCAGAGGCAGATAAATATTACTTTTCTAAATTTTTTAGGGGTCCCGCAAGGCAGATAGAATGGCCTGGTGGGCTGCATTTTGCCCTCCTCTACTCTATCTGCTATGATAAAGGACTTCAGTTGTCAGTGCAGTTTCTAAGATGATCGGTGTCGATATATAAAGAAGCAAGACTGAAAACCTAGTACTGCAACACACCCATACAGCTATGAGTAGTATGAACCTTTTCAGGGAGAGTGGCATAAAAGTCAAATAAATAAATGTCTTGCATTCAGAAGCTTGTCTAACTTTATGCATGTTGGTCCAATAAAAGATGAAGGCAGGGTAGATTTGCAGCTTATAGACTAATGGAAGTATGTGCAGGTGGGGGGGCAGGGAGGTTCGGGTGCATGTGTGCACACTATATCACGTGTGTATACATACACACACACGCTATATATTTATATGTATGTGTGCATGCGTGCTATATGCAAATATATATGAGACAGATTTTCTTGAGCATCTGAGCGCAGTAAGTTTCAGCTCACAGAAGCTTGTGCTATATCCATCCATCTAGTTTTGTTAACCTGTAAAGTGCAAGTCTCCTGTGCCTTCTCCTTGACCTCTGACTAGCAGGGCTCTCCTTATGTCTCTCTGCCCAAGACCAGCAGTCACCATGAGAAATCCTTGCCCCTTGCATGATTCCTGGACCCTCCAGGCTACAGCATCGCCTGGACACCACCATAGTGAGGCTAGCAGAAGGCAAGATTTCAGAGCAACAGCCTGGATCCAGTGAAACAGCTTCCTCAAGGCAGGACCTAGCTGCAGCAGGGTGGATGCTCACCACCCCCTGCACCAGCTGGGTCTGCTCCATGGGTGCATCATGGCATCCGCACAGGGTCCTGCAGCCTCCCCAGACTTGCACCAAAAGCCTGTCCTGGAG